ATAAATGTGTGAGAGCGTGTTATAGGCTATATGACATTAGTCAGACTGCGCTAATGCAACAAACATCGCTGCGGACGAGTAACTGAGTATCTCTTCAGCAAGCCGACGCACAAACTGCCGCAAATTAAACTGAAAGTAAGATGCAGACGGTCAACACACAATCATCTTCATTAAAAGTAGTAAGACAAACTTATCTTTCCAGTGCTGATGCCGCGCGCTCTCCTATTGCGGTCTTTGATCTTGAAATTGACGTGAACTCCGTTAAATTTAAATATAGCGCGGGAACTGAAGATCGGTTTTATATCCGTTTTGCGTCGACACATTTATGTGGCCAAGTGTAAATGGAAACGTTTTAACAAATCAGATAGATATCAGCGAAAACACATGAAATTACCAGGTGTAAACAGGCCCTAAAATACATTCATTAGCTGGTTCTGATGTGTTTGATTAGGGTTGGAGCTAACTCTGCAGGACAGTGGCTCTCCAGGACCGAAGTTTCCCAGCCCTGATGTAGTGTGTCGTGTCATATCATGTAGTTCATGGAATGAGATTTTACTCCGTGTTAAACTTCAAGAAGCGCTTCTTCTCTGCTGTGAAACAGAGGTGCATGTTACAATTTTTGCACATCACTTTGGGTGTTCCTACACACCCAGGAACCTCGCATCTTCCCTTTTTGCCACACATTATTTGTCTGTATGTATTGTCAATGGGAAATTCTGGTTAGGGATGGGAGCCATGGACCCCTGCTTCCTTACCCCTTATCGCACAACGTTGCCCTGAGGCAACGAAAAGAAAAACTGAATTTCTGAACATGCAAAATAAAAAAAAAATCATAAAACCTGACAAAAGTCTTCTCTACACCTTTTTATGTACAGTTCATGTCATTTTAAATAAGATTACTAAAGCAAATAATCTTGCCTTCTCACACCATCAGGACGTCCCGCCTTCAAATGGTGCTTGATAGTGACTCCCACAACTCATTGGACTGTTCTTTGATACTTTTCAAACATTTTAATTGGTTGAAATCATTTAAAAAAACATGTACTGAAGATGGGGCATAAGAAAAACTTTTCGTAGAGGGTTAAATATGGTGGTTTGGAGTAACTGGGACTGGCTGAAGCTAAAGGTGGTGATGTCAGCAGTAACGAAATCTAACCAAGTATCTGTGAAAGTGAAAGCAGATGTCAGAGGAAGAGGAGAATCTACACACGCACATAAAGAGTAATAGATTTAAAGTCTGAATAGCTTTTTTCTTCACTTTCTAACCACACAGATGTCAGAAGTTCTAGGCCTTTGGCTTATGTAATAGATCAATATTTAGGTTATTTACAATGAGTCAAAATTATCCAGGTTCGTATAAGGACAAGACTAAAGAAAATGATCTTCTGTGATGCACATACTTTCAGAAAAATAATAAGAAGAAGATAAATTAAATAATAATAATAATAATAATTTCCTTGCAAAAAATAGTATATTTTCAGTTCAGTCTACAGATATTTCTTCAGCTCAAAGCAAAGTACAATGTGTAAATCGGGTAAAACATAAGTGAAATCAATACAAAAAAATTCAGAAAATATAGGTGATTCTATAATTGGAGATACATTTGGCATTGCAGAAAGTTAAGAAAAAAAAAAACTTTCACTGATAGATTTAATTTTAATAATTCAGTGCTTGCCAAACACAAGTTACTTCCTTCTTTTACTTTTAATGAAAAAACAGATGTCTTTATGGTATTGTTTGTCAACTCTGTTACGGACAAATTAGCCAGTGTGTAGAAATAACAATAAATCATAACAGGAAAAATCGTTCTTGTTTCATTAGTCAAACAGTCCTTACATTCCATCACTTGAAACTGAGATCATATTTCACCTATGCATACCTTTAAAATGAACCGTCCACTTGGAGGAAATATTTTTCATCTAAAAATGTATTATATACATTATTCAGTTAAAAAAATAAATGTTGTTGAAATATTATAAGGGTGCAAAAATAAATCAATAATGTTTATTAGGATTTTAAACAACAAATGTATTGTTTTTTTGTGAAAATAGTTCATAAACAGAGTTGACCCTTTAAGTAACAGAATTGTAAAGTAACAGAATTGACAATTGTCCGATAGACTGTCAATTATGTTACCGCATTGTCAGCATTGTTGCTCTACCTTGGTAACAGAGTTTAACAGTAACAGAATTGACAATTTTCTTTATTTGTTGCCAAAAACTCCACTTGCTAGCATAAATGCTAAGAGCACATGGCACTAATGAAATCATGATTAAAAGACTTTTAAATAACACAAAATGTGATCAATGAAAAAAATATGTTTTTCTTTTGATATTGTGGTAACAGATTTGACACTTTATAAAATAACTCTTGGTGTAAGAACTTTTAGATTAAAATATTTTCTTAGAGAGAGCACATAGACTTTTCAGTGCTTCAGATCTTAACAGTGAGGGAAAGTGACATAATTTCCTGTATCTTACATAGTTGTGGGAGATAATTCCACTAATTTAAAAGCAAAGTATGGTACGGTAACAGAGTTGACGCAAGATTTACGGACACACATTTTCATAAGAAAAACGTTTTTTTTTTTTTATATATATATATTAATGTTGTAGAATTAGGTAAATTACTCTTTAGGGCTTTTATAAATAAAATGAATGAAATA